AAGTTTCGAGAAGGACCACGTGTATCGACAGAAGGCGAGAAGAGAAAATTTACATACTTAAGTACTAATAGTTCACGAAAATAATAATTTTCGTGAACTATTATTACTTAAGTATGTAAAAATTTATTACATTTCCTGTTGTATGAGGGTTTTACCCAATTCTCGAACCGTGTCAGAGTAAATCCGTGCTATAAAAGTACCGTGTTATACGGGGGATGGTACCAATTCTCGAACCGTGTTAGAGTGAATCCGTGCTATAGAAGTGCCGTGTTATACGGGGGTTACCTGTACTGTATTTATTCCGCTCTCCGATTTTATATTACTTACGGATTTCAATGTTAAACCAGTGATATTACGATTTCGTATATCCCATCTCTAAGGGGATGTATAAAAAAATAAAACGTGTACAATTCTTGTATACAGTAATGTTAAAAAATTAACTGTTACTTTGACAGCATCATTTACAACTAAATTTAATGAATGAGAGAGATGCACGAGGTACAGAAAAAGCTCTAGAATTTATTTTCCTTAATTAAATTTACGATTTGTATATCCGTTGTCATAAAAATTTGTCTTTCCACTTTTTTCCCGAGACTCCAAATATTCATGTACAAAGTAAACGGTTTCGACTTATTTCTACTTAAGAAGTAGTTAAATAATTAAGCGATTAGGGAATTGAGGACATAAACAAAACCCTGATGAAAGAGCCGGAATTTTACTTAAACAAAATCTTAACCGAACCATCTCTAGCCGAGTACAGTGGAGACTGATTTCTTCGTATTATTAATGTAATACAGAAATTTTTCCAGTTCAATGAGAGTGACCGAAAAGTTGTAAATTTTGGAAATTTCTGAGGACACTTGGTCCTAAAACGAATTAGAAAACAAACGACGGACAATTTATTAAGTTTAACATATTTAGATTTTTACATCTATGGCGAGAAACGTTTAAAATTTACAACTCTGCCGCGTCCTTTGAGGTATACTAGTGATGCAACTAAACAGGCATTTGACATTTACCTGTTTCGGCACCCTCGGGATTTGGCAGCCCGCGTGCATGCATACATTGCAGAACCGTCTCTGATCTCAATCATTAGCCACTGGTAGGGAGCTATTTGACTAAGTGGATTGTTTTAAGATTTAAAAAGTAAAGAATATTTTATGTACGCTTTTTTATAAAGCTATATTTAATTATAATTTTCTTTAAAAGTATATTCGTACAATTGAAGAATATCTTGTACCAGGTATGTACAGTACCTATATATATATATATATAGGTACTGTACATACCTGGTACAAAATGTACATATATATATATATATATTTAATACTCTTTTCGTCCTGTGGGCACTAGGAGGGCCTCTTAAAGCAAGTCCATTGTGGGTTCGGCCGGGCCCACAATGGGGCGACCGGGTGGTGAAGGACGGGGCCATCTCCCGAAAAATTCCTGGGGTTTTTTTGACTCATCTGGATTTGATCCCAGGTCCCCCAGAGCGTTAGGTTTCCACCTTGACCGCTCGGCAATCCGGCCATACCTATATATTGAAATATATCATTTTTTTAATGTTTGTAACAAACCTTTTCTTCTGGTCGTATAAAAACTTTTCTATAGGCAAGTGGGGGAGTTTCCCATGAAGAAAATTAAAGAAAAATAATAATAAAAAATTTGTGAAATTTTAAAAATAATAAAACATGATTACAACTAATAGCTACAATAACGGAAGTTTAAAATAACATTATTAAAAAGTAATTATTTTATTATAAATTTTATAGTAAAAATTCCTGCAAAACTTTTTTAGTCTATTTGAATTTCTTATTTTTTCAACTCTTCCCATTCTGTGGGTACTAAGAGGGCTCTTTTTAGCAAGTCCATTATGGCTTCGGTCAGGCCCCATTGTGGGCCTGACCGAATGGGGAACCTGATGGGGCGGCCGGGTGGTGAGGGAAGGAACACGACATATCCGGACGGACCACCCCCGAAAAATTGTTGGGGAATTTTCGACCCGTCCCTCTCGATATTTTGCTCTGGGGACCCTGGATCACCCAGAGAGATAGGCTGTCACCTTCGCCGCTCGGTTATCCGGCCGGCCAAATTTCTGATTGCACCGCTTCCCCTATGTATAAAAAATCTGAGCTGACTGTTTATTTTATATCAAATTTATTTTTGAAAATTTAAGCAAATTACGATCATAATACAAATAGTTATACCTGTATATATATATGAAACTTTTATTTTTTTTAATGGTTACATAAATGGTATTTAATTTGAAAAAGAATAGTTTTAATGAAAGCATTTTGCATTTTATTAATTTAAATATTTTATTAAATAATAAACATATTAATAAATATAAATAAAAAAACTATATATTTCTACATATTTGTAAACAGTATTTTGATTCCTATTTCAAACATAAGGTGGTGCAATTTTCAAAATATTAGAAAATTTTTCCCTCGTGTAAACGGCAAGTCGGAGCTACAATGGGAAAAAAGAGGAAAAATGTATCTACGGAGGAAAAGAAAGAACCTGAACTACCCCCAGCTGTACGAAGTTCGGACGAACCACCAGTTAAAAAGGTAACAAAAGAATAAAAACCGAATCAGTCGATATAAACACGTCATAAACCAGCAATTGCTTTTAAGAAATGGCCACGTGGTTTGGTAGTACTTGAATTATTCACATTGACTAGTCGTCATTTTCTATCGTATATACTTTATAAGACAAAATTGATATACTAACGTCGTTTTTATTATAATTGAATATGATCGCGAATATATTTTAATAAAGTAAAATATAAAATTAAACATGTTTTATGTATGATCATGAGAAAGAATTAGGGTAACTGGTAATTATTTAGAATCTCCACATTGCGCGTTTTTCTGAATTCTTTTTAAAGAGGCATATTTGATAGACATTTCCAAAATATATAGAATATTTTTGGGGGTGACCCATATAAAAAGTGTCTTAAAGAAAAAATTAAGGGGGAGATCGAACNTATTATTCATATCTATGTTGGAGATACATATATTAATGTCTTAATGTTGTATAAATAAATTTAGAAAACTTCTATTAATCAAAATTAATTTACATATATCCAATATGAAAGATTGTCATAATAATTAATTGCCATTGTCTATTCAAGGATAATAAAAACAAATTGAAGACAATAAAAATGCTTTATTTAACAATATTCTTTTTTATAAATTATCAAAGCAATTTTCAAAATATTAGAAAATTTTTCCCTCGTGTAAACGGCAAGTCGGAGCTACAATGGGAAAAAAGAGGAAAAATGTATCTACGGAGGAAAAGAAAGAACCTGAACTACCCCCAGCTGTACGAAGTTCGGACGAACCACCAGTTAAAAAGGTAACAAAAGAATAAAAACCGAATCAGTCGATATAAACACGTCATAAACCAGCAATTGCTTTTAAGAAATGGCCACGTGGTTTGGTAGTACTTGAATTATTCACATTGACTAGTCGTCATTTTCTATCGTATATACTTTATAAGACAAAATTGATATACTAACGTCGTTTTTATTATAATTGAATATGATCGCGAATATATTTTAATAAAGTAAAATATAAAATTAAACATGTTTTATGTATGATCATGAGAAAGAATTAGGGTAACTGGTAATTATTTAGAATCTCCACATTGCGCGTTTTTCTGAATTCTTTTTAAAGAGGCATATTTGATAGACATTTCCAAAATATATAGAATATTTTTGGGGGTGACCCATATAAAAAGTGTCTTAAAGAAAAAATTAAGGGGGAGATCGAACAGTGCAGTTGGTATGCAGACACAATTTTTTCTTTACCTATAGCAGTTTTCATAAGGGTCTCCCCTTGTGTTTTGGAAATATCTATCAAGTATATATCTTTTAAAAAATCCAGAAAAAAAATGTCATGTAGACAGTGTCATATTATAGCTTCATGGGAGCTCAGGCAAATTTGAAATAGGGGGTAATTATAAAGTTTCTTACCATTATACATTTGTTTTTTTAAACAACATTTCTGAAACACACAGAATTATTTGGTGCTGATCCAGATAAAAAAAACACTATAAACAAAACCAAAAAAACTATAATTGTTCCATTCCTTTAATAAAACAAACAGCATCAGGTTTTAACAAATACAATTTGGACATTTAAACCAATAGTTATGTATTTATCTATTTTAAATAGGTTTGTATTTAATTTATATTTTACAATATTTATTTATTTAAAAACAATATACTTATATTCTTATATCACATATCCCAATTTTAAGAAATATAAATTTGATTTTGGAATTTCACATTTTAAATACAAAAAAGCTCCTGGAATGCTGTTAGAATTATCAATTTAAATGTTCAAACTATATTTGTTAAAACTTGATGCTGGCCCCTAAATATGGTTGAAAACTTTGTTTTAATAAAGGAGTGGTACTGAAAAAAATGTGCAACAAGTTTTTTAATATAAAGACTATAAGTATTAATTTTCTTTTTAAATATTTATATTAGATATTTATCAGTTCTTAATAAAATTTTAGGGTAAATGGACAAACAAGCAAAGAGTTTTGATTTTTTCTTCAAGAGGAATTACATATCGAGATAGACATCTTATGCAAAATTTAAGAACTCTCTTACCACATTCCAAATCAGGTTTGTTAAATATTAATGCTTATTATAAATAAATACCATTTTTTATAAATATTAGTCTTTAATTTTAAGATATCTATTTTTCAATGATTTTGTTAACTAATAAATTAAAAATAGTATTCTTGTATGTAAAGGAATTGGGATATTTTTAAATGTGTTTGAAAATTTTCTGTCTCATATATAAATCACAAAGATAAAACAATTTTAACTGTTAGAGGTTTTAAAAATAAATAAATAAATATATGTTTCTCAATTGTAGCTTTTTCAAGTTTTATACTTCATCTTTAGAAGAAGCATTAAATTCCAGTAAAATAAAATTGAAAATTCAAAATAATAATAAAATAATAATAATAATAATAAAATTTTAAAATATTTTTAATCATTACATTAGTAGAGTATGCCAATTGTCTGAAAAGATGTACAGTACAGCGATAATGGCAGTTTATGCTTATTCCTCATTATTTTGTTCCTTATATTTTTTTATTTTCATCCCCTTATAAGCAATGAAGAAATAAAATATGTCATAACCACAGATGAGTGTGGAAGTGAGGAAAACAAAGAAGTTGACACCAGATGCAAAACCATAATTCATTATGATGAAATTCAATGCATTGAAATGCATTTCAATGCTATTAAAATGCATTGAAAGGTTTGAAATTCAGGAAGAAGCAGAGACAATACATGTTGTACTCCTTTTCCATTAATTTATAAAGAAATATAGTTAAAAACAAATTAAGCTTAATTCTTAAAAAAAAATCACTAAGTTTTTGTTTTTATTATTCATATCTATGTTGGAGATACATATATTAATGTCTTAATGTTGTATAAATAAATTTAGAAAACTTCTATTAATCAAAATTAATTTACATATATCCAATATGAAAGATTGTCATAATAATTAATTGCCATTGTCTATTCAAGGATAATAAAAACAAATTGAAGACAATAAAAATGCTTTATTTAACAATATTCTTTTTTATAAATTATCAAAATGCATTTTGGCTGTATTAACTTTAAGCCTTCTTTAGTTCTGAAATAAAATTTACAAATTATTTTAGTACAATTTAAATGACATTTGAAACAAAGTACAAAACATACAAGAAGTTTATAGCAATAGACTTAGAGAAACAACAATTATCTGACATTACAACAATACCAGTACACCATATATATAACCATATATATATATATGGTAAGGATTGCTACCAATAATTTATTTACAGTACAATAAAATTACAAATGTACTTTAAATGGTTCTTTTAGAATTTTATTTCTTAAGATTATTTTTCTTTACTAAACTTTGACAAAAAAAATTACACTTTGATGTAGATTCTACATATTTATTGCAGGTTGAGACGTAGGTATGATGTTTCTCCAACAGTCATCTAATTTACATCCTGTGTTTTGATTAACTAAATTTTTATTTTTTACAAACTTATACTGTTCTTTAATTCTTCTTTTAATAATGTTTTTTTCTCTATGCAATATTTTAATACTTGTTTTATCAATGTTACATTTGCTATTTTCAATATGTTTGTACCAAGAAGAATCTTTATATTTCAGTCTAATAGTGGCTTTATGTTCTTTAATACAAGTTTTTAATTTCCTTTTAGTTTCACCTACATAAAATAATTTGTAAATATTTTAGAACTGAAGAGGGCTTAAAGTTAATAAAGCTGAAATGCATTTCGATAATTTATGAAAAAGAATATTGTTAAATAAAGCATTTTTATTGTCCTTGGATAGACAGTGACAATTGAAGCATATTATGACAAGATTATCATATTGGATATAAGTAAATTAATTTTGGCATATTTGGTGGCCATCCTGTGGATATAAGGTGACTTTATTATTTGTCTTATTTAATCTATTTTAATTCCATTAATCATCTTTTCAGAAGGAAAAAAAAGAAGAAAAAATGTTACAAATACATATATTAGGAGTCGAAGCTTTATTAGGAAAATGTTTTTGGGAGCACTCTGTCCCATCTTTAGTCCCAAATATTCAAAATAGGAAATTGAAATGAGAACATATATTCAATGAGCAATTATTTATTGTGACATTGTCACAATACTGGGCTGCAATTTTTAATTGTATTCTTAATTTATTTAATTTAAAATATATGCTCTTCACCTCAAGTTTGACCTAAACACAAGTTAAAAGTTTGTAAAATGTGTTTTTATAATAGTTCAAATCTTCATTTCTTGGATTTTAAATTCAAGTTTAAAAAATATAAAATGTCACAGAGGTACAAAAAAACTTTTTTTTTGTTGTTTTTTTCTGTCATTTTAATATAACAGTGACAGTCCACAAACACTTGTCACATATGATGTATGTGAAACTTGAATGGTACTTCTGTAACCATAGGTGAGGGTTGGGGTCACTGACTTTCCTTTCCTCTGTTTAAGCAGGTAAGAAGAGGAGCATTGTGTTTAATGGCTTCCAAATGTGGAGATCAATATACTGTATGGTGTGGGGTTCATAGAAAAGTTTTTCTAAGAATATTTCCAAGCCTTTCTCACACAAGGGAAAATGGGTTAGGGGACATTATATGTTTATGGAACCAAAGGGTGGTGGTTCAAGAGAATTTGAGAATCATTGCTTTATAATAAATCTGATATTGCAATACATTTCTAATTGTTCTGAATAGTATTCACATTATAATAATTAAAATAATCTACAATCATTAAAATTAATTAATTTGATTACTTTCAAATATTTTGGACTTTCAAAAAAATTCAGTCAATTACAATTATAACCATGTAGTAAGTACATGATTATAAATTAACTATTAAACTAAATATTGCTGGAATTTAATGTAAATACAATGGGTGATTGGTTAATGAACATAATCTGTTCCAAGACTTTGTTCACTATCCGAATTGTTCATTAACCGATTATTGATTTACCATAGGTTTCTATGGGAATTTGATTAATTTGTTCTGGAGACCCCCAAAAAATAAAAAATATATACTTTCTTACTACGTTTATTCATATGTAATAATAAAAATACATATATACACAGTCTTGCATTTTTATTAGTCATGTTTTTTTCATTTGTGGTGGTTAAAGAATCTGTCCAATGTCAATTGCTTTTCTGTCTTCTTCATGATTTTTCAGAAGTAATTAATAGCATTGTAATTGTAGAGATCCCTAGGCCTATTAACCTCAACCTGGTTTGGATGCCATTTTAAGACCGCTGTTCTGACACTTCTTCAAAAGATCTTTAATAGCAGATATCGGCATAAATTTGCATTTTCAGAAGAAAATGTAAAAGAATTGTTTCTGTCAGAAATATAAAAGGCTGGAATTACAAGGGAGAGTTTCAAAGTTTGGGGGAATACTATCCAATCAGTATATACTGCGTAGAACGTCGGTGTCAATGTATCCCACGCTCAGAAAAGTTTCAAATTGTTGTCTGAAGACAAAGGAAGACCAACCAGTATTCATTATTTTATATCACTTCTTCTTGTGTTTGTTCAGTGAAGTGTTTGTTATCCAATTTGTTCGTTAACCAATCACTCACTGTATTCGTAAAAGATTATTTTTTAAACTATAGTGTTATGGTATACATTTTGAGAGTAAATATCTTTTCATATTTAAGTTGTTTAGAAAATTGAAAATTGATTAAATATTCATGGAAACATTTCATATAGCTAAAATGTTAGTTAGAACTTGTTAATTATAAAGTATGCGATGTCCTATAAGTCTGTACAAATTTAGAAAATTCATAATTTATCAAATATTTCCTCGTGTTTCTGGCTCCATATTATTATCTGTACAAAATGCTTACTTTCAGGTAGCCAACTGGTTAAATTTTTCACAAAGATGTGTTTTTGTGCTGTTTTAGGACAGCTTTAGCTTTAAGAACCTGTAAGTAAGCATTTTATACAGATTCATAGTTCATAAACTAACTTATAAGTCATCTATGATTGTATGAAATACAGAGTGATAATTAAACTGACCCTATTCAGATCCCTCTAGAGCCCATTCTACTTATCAGATTTTGATGAAACTTGGTACAGTGGGTGATTGGTTAATGAAAAAATCGGATAACGAACACTTTCGCGAAAGATTTTTATGATCAGACAACAAACACATGTTCGGATAACAAATACTTCACTGAACAAACACAAGAATCAACGTAAAATAACGAATACCAATTAGTCTTCCTTTGTCTTCAGGCAACAATTCAAAACTTTTCGGAGTGCGGGAGACGTCGACAACAACGTTCTACCCAGTATATACTGATTGGATAGTATTCTCCCGAACTTTGAAACTCTTACTTGTAATTCCAGCCTTTTATATTTCTGACAGAAACAATTCTTTTACGTTTTCTTCTGAAAATGTGGATTATGCCAATATCTGCTATTAAAGATCTTTTGAAGAAGTGTCAGAACAGCGGTCTTAAAATGGCATCCAAACCAGGTTGAGGTTAATAGGTCTAGGGATCTTTACAATTACAATGCTATTAATTACTTCTGTAAAATCATGAAGAAGACAGAAAAGCAATTGACATTGGACAGATTCTTTAACCACCACAAATGGAAAAAACATGACTAATAAAAATGCAAGACTGTGTATATATGTATATTTATTATTACATATGAATAAACATAGTAAGAAAGTACAGTAATACCCCGAACTTACGCGATAGGTGGGACCGAGCGATAACCGCGTAAGTAGGAGTATAATTTCGCATATAAATACTGTTCATACAAATAATTTTTAATTGGGGCCGAAGACTAAAGAAAAATATAATTTAGAAAAAAATGATTAATAAAATCTTAGATAATACATGTGTAGCCTATAACAAATTATATTATTATACAATTTTTCACATTTACTTGATTATCACACCGTAATTTTAACATTGTTTCCATCTCAGGGATAATACCGTGACGTTTACGAATGATGCTTGAATTTATTTTACAGCTTCATGAATTCTTTCTTTATCTTTTATAATTGTTCTGACCGTCGATTCCGGAAGATCAAACTTCTTT